AGGCCTCCACGTGGAGACATACCTGAGGTGACTTGGCAGACAAGTGAACCTTAGTACAACTCTAGTGTCAATTCCCGATGGCTCACCTACAGAAATATACATAAAACTGAATGAGCAAGGCTCAGTGAATAATAGCAACTTAAGAAGGTTAATTGAATAAGCAAAACCTTGGATAAAATAAATAGACAGATACCAACCATATACAGGTCATATCCATAACTATATTTCAATACGGTCTCAGGTTCACATATATTATAGAACGGCCTCGGGCCCATATATAATACAGAACGGCTTTAAGCCCACAAATATGATATAGATCGGCTTTAAGCCCAGATGTGATACAGAACGGCTTTAAGCCTACAAATCTTACAGAATGGCCTCTGGCCCACAGATAATACAAAACGGCCATAGGCCTAACAGATACAGAACGGCCATAGGCCCAGATGTCACAGATTGACCATAGGCCCAGTTCAAATATGTATGGACTCAAGAGGTGTTTCGCACGGATTCTAGAGGTGACTCGCACTGCAGCACTTAGTTCCATACAGCACTTTGTCCCATACCAGAAAACAATTAGGTCTTAAAGACCGAACAATTCATATCATGTCATAGCATAAACGGAATGAATAAACAGAACAGAATAACCCCAGACTCATAGGAATACCATTCACAATAGTACACATAAATTTCCCCATGGTTTATCACAAGTTGACGTAGTTGCCTTACATATAACAAATCATTAACAATAATTATTAACATATAAAGCAATCCATAATTCCATCCGACTAGCCATTTCGATGATCCATTGTAAGATATTCAAAACATCATGTTCTTAGTAGGTGGGGCTTATATTCACAATTTCTTCCTGTCAACATTTTGTACAGTATTAATTCATGCAGAGACATAGGCAATCTACAGTTTCCAATCATTTATAACAGTTAACGTAATTAACATGCGAAGAACAGAGCGTTAATTATTATTAACGGTATGTAAATGTACAACTACAGTACTATTACTCACAGTGGTAGGTCTCTGATAGCGGTGGAACGATGTCCTCGTCTTGACCTACAAACATAATGCACATAACAGATTATGAGAATAAAACCAATCTCTTTTTATTCCTTACTCAATAGCTATGGTGGTTCTAGACTCATTAGTTCTCCATAGGTTATAATCCATGCCTCATAAAATAGGAGGAATCGATAGGAGAAAGTTTCAGGCGAAAAAACGATACAAACTCAGTAAACAGAAAGTGAACAGTCGTCACTAATTTGGGCATAACTATTTCTGTACTTAGAATTTGGAAGTGAGATTTCCACCATCGGAAACTAGACTTTCGGGGCTTGATTTTAGGCTCAAGAATCACTCAAACCGGAGTCCGGATGCAAAAGATATGCTTGTTCGAAGTTACAATGTATAAGCTGAAACAGGGTTGGCTGCTCGTGTGCCCACTTTGGCTGCTTGTGCGGCCCAATTCTGCTCGAGCCGAAGATCCAAGCCGTTCGAGCGCCCAAAAGCAGAATGAAAACCTCTTTTTTTTTCTTCATGTCCGCTCGTGCGGTGCCCGTGCCCGCTCGTGCGTTCTAGGCAAAAAACAACAGTCCGAAAATAGCTCTTTTGCTCCAACACTTGATTTTTTCCATTTTTAAGCTTGGTTCTAAACATAAATCACTCAAAAACATATAAAATTGACCCACAAGGTGATAAACTATCAACATTCAAGTGTAACCCCATCTCAAACAAATCAATCTTTGCCTCAAATTGAAAATTCAAGTCCCATTTTTCCATATAATCAAACTTCCAAAATATATACTCCAAAATCATAAAAATACATCTTACATATGGTTGATTTTCACACCAAAGCTTGTTGTTCCACGAATCATTCTTAAGATTGAACCCAAATCAAACAAATTTAAGGAAAGCAAAGTTCAATTCCTTGAATTCAATCCATTTCATCCAAACTCCCAAAACACTAGTTCATTTACATTTTAAACTTCCAAGTTAATCCTTGATTTCATGTAGTAATTGGATTATTTACAAAGATAATAGTTAAAACTACATACCTTAACCCAAACCCTTGAATTTCCCCTTTAAAGCTCTTCAATCTCCAAGCTTTCTTTCCTTTTCTCTTTGAGTTCTCTCAAGAACTCTTTCTCTCACGTGGCTTCTCCTTTCTCTACATATTTTTGGTTCAAAGAGATGAGTTCAACAACTCATAAGGCTTCTATTTATATAAATATACACACACAAGATTAACACAAGGGAGAGCCAAACATGGACTTATGAATCGTACGAAATTAAATTTCAATTAAACTTTTCAGATAACTTTAAAAATTACGCTGATCATGAATATGTCCTCTGTTCCGATTTCTAAAGCCTCTAAAGCCTTCAATTTGCAGTATGAAATTAACCACCCAAACGTGCATTAACGAATCAAACAAATTAGAATTCCAATTAATTTTCCCAAATAGTTCTAAAAATTCCCATTAACATATACAAG